GCTTAAAACTAACGAATATAAATTTAATCAATTCTTCGCCATAAAAATATTTAATATTCTAGAAACTAAACTATATTTTTGATTTTGAAATGCAGTTTTTTTTTTGTTTAACTTTTGTGGAAAGGTTTATTCACTCTATAAAATATGATAACAAAATGTAAACGCTAGGCCTCGAAGGGTCACTTTCATTAAACACTGTATATACCATGTCAATGCAAGAAAACCAATTCATGATGACAAAATGTTTCATAATTTAAAAAAACGTCAAACAGGTTAGAAGCCTGGTTGTAAAGAAACTAAGTGAAATTTCGGGTTGGAATGTTAATAATTAACGGTTTGTTATTGTTAGAAATCAAGCATACTTTATTTATAAATAACTGCTATTTTATGAGTTTGACATTTTAAGTTGGTGGTCACTCTTTCAACTAAATTGTACTTCAGGAACATAATTTCTTTCAGTTCAATGAAACAATACAACTCTGGTGAATGTTTAGATAACAGTAGCAAAAAAACGTACGCCCATGTCACCATAAAATCAGAATTTAGTGAAACAAAAGATTGAAATGTGTCAATTTACAGGAAAGGTACAGCTTAATATTACATATTAAATATTGTAAAAATATAGTACGTGTGTGCTAAAGAGGAACTGAACTTATTTTAAGACTATTTATCAATATTAGAATTTATTATGGTGGTTTGTACGTTTTAGTTTCAGATTAGTATATATTGTTTTCATTACAAAAAAAAAAAATTGATGATGTATATGAACACAATGATACCTTGTGAGCCTGTTAGTTAGTAGTAACATTCATCGCTATGTTATAAATGCACACTCACACACACACATATAAATATGTGTGCCTTACAAAGAACTTGACTTTTGCTTCACTAAAGTTTTTAACAGCAGCAGTAAGCTACCATAATTTTTAAATTGTTACTAATTAAAATGAAGTCAATAGTTAGGGCAGTTACCGCGCGTCACGCCGCCAGATACGTCATGCGCGACACAAATGTGTCGACTTCAGGCAATGGGGAGACGCTGACGTCATAGACATTAGTTGTGGCGCCATCTGGCGGCGTGACGCGCGATAACTGCCCTAACTATTGACTTCATTTTAATTTACGTCATGCACGACACAAATGTGTCGACTTCTGGCAATGGGGAGACGATGACGTCATAGACATCAGTTGTGGCGCCCCGGTAGCTGTCCTAACTACTGAAGTCCCAATTAAAGTGAATGTTCTTCTATCTTATGTTCATGGACAGGGCTGACTAATTTGTTTTAAATAATCCCGAGCATGAAATAGTTAGTTTCGATGTTAATAATACGAGCAGAGAATTATTAGCGGTTCACATAATGTTCTAAGGAAACCTAATCCTCAATTATGTACGAAAACAATTAAATTTAATTCGACAGTAAAAGTTATCGGAATGGATTAATACATTCTGAATAATAGAAAACAAATCGTATTTAATTAATATGAGACGAAAGCTTACAAGTTGTTTGTAGTAGGGAGGGGAAAAATTATTCTACGGAAAAGAGCCATAAAAAGATCTTTTGAACTTTAATCCTTTAATCAGAATCACTGATAAGCTGAAAACCTACTTCTACTGATACCATAAACCCTGGTATTGGTCTCGTCTGCACCGGATATAGCAAATGTAGTGTGGTTGACATATTATAATACATTTTCCTTCATGAGTTTTTAGAAATATGTATACTCTTTCTGGGAGTATAAAGTTTGTTCTTAAATACTTTATGAGCAATTTGTCTCCTCTGTTTTTCCATACAACAATGGGTTTTGCATAGATCTGTTTGAACCATTTGTTGTTCATGCTTAATATGAGGGGCATAATTTTAAATGGATTAGAATCGCGGTAAATGTAACTAACTTGCAAGTAAGCAAACTGAAAACTCCATAAAGAGACAGGAAAATTGTATTTTTTTGATTCTCACATAAAACATTTAAACATTTTGTTCGCTGAACATTATAGAATAATAAATTAGTAGCTTTAGTGCTAATTTTCTAATTCAAACACCACCACGAATGGATGTTTACTACATCTCTTCCCACACGAATGTTTGATATCTGCTCTGTTTAGATTTTCACTAAGAAATAAATTTCATTGTTTGCTTCTTGTGTTAGATTTCAGGCAAGGTTACTCGAATGCTATTTGCTCTAGCCAACCCTAATTTTTCATGTAACAAACTAATGGAAAGGTAGCTAATCAACACCATCCACCGCCAACTGTTGGGCTACTCTTGTCAGAGCTAATAGTGGGTTTTGACTGCCACCATTTTAACATACTCACCTACACTCTGAAAGTGCAGAGGGCGTTTTTTTTGTTTTTGTTTTTTTTTTCTCTGACACGTTAACCACTGGTTATAACTTTTTTGCGACCTGCAATTGCATAATGGATATCAAGAAAAGTGCAATTGAGAAGATGACCAAAATATTTTTGAATCAAACATTTGGTAACCTACAACTGCCAAATGGCCCCATAATTTGAATCCTACCTTACTTTGTCCATTTTGTCTAATTAAACAACTAACAAGAAGATTTTTATTACAATAAATGTAAACCTCATACAATCTTTGAGATTTAGCAGCGATTTTCACCTGAAGGACCCAATTCCATACATCCAGAGATAATTTTAAAATATACGTGCAGTAACTATAATACCACCAATGGCGAGAAAAAAAGTAAACGCCATTTTTCCATTCGCTCCTTTGAGCATCTGAGAGTCTTTTAGGACCAGTAATGTGCTTTCCAGTCCGTCAACTTCAGCAATTCACAATCACAGAGAATACACTGGACATAAGAGATCTCAGCGGAATTTCACAATTCTAAGTAGTAACAAAACACAGAACTCCCTTACACCACAGAGTATATTTGTATAAACATACTGCCCTATTTTAAATCTATCACAGTCTTCTTTTTGCTCTGAAACTCTCTTGGTTATTTTATCCCAGCTTACCGCTCCATATCGATAATTTTGTTTCCGTTAATCACAGTATCTTGACTTTACCCTTATTTTATGTATATCTATCTCTCTTCCTATATTTCCGTAATTATTATCATTGTGGTTTTACCAACAATATATTTTACCATACTGTGCCATTATTGTTGTCCTCACTCTACGCGATTAGAACACAAGTTTGTGTAAGCTCGGATTAGCCTACTTTAAAACGTTAATCTAAGCCTGTTGTTGACTGGTGCACAATGAAACGAGTCTATCTCCATGTTCGATTTTTTCTAATGGGCTAAACATTCAAATGTAATCATAATACCGCTGCATTATATGCATTTAATATCTTGAATACGACGAATAAATGTATTAAGGTGTTTGTCTCCTATATGAGTGTGTTTAACCTATGGTGAGGAAAGAACAATTCAAATACCACACACAATAAATACAATTACTGAAGTTTTATCACGAGTGCAACACCAGACTAATAACAGTGGCCAATAAGTCATTTTCAACAGATATAATAATAGGTGGGCTAGATAGCTCTTGGGACGCTGATTCCAAATCTGGTTTTGGTTTTCCTCTAGCACGTCAAGTTTTCCTGATAAGACCGATCAAACTTGAAAGATTATTGCCTTAATTATAATTTAAGTTGTTGTACATTTCTTTTTTCTTAAGTGTGTACTGTATAAGTTTAATCAAGTGTATGGTGTGTATAACGTTTATGGGAATTATATTTAAAAACTAATAAAGTTGTAACGTTAACTTGCCAAATGTGTGATTATTACCTAAATTGTGCTGAAATTATCACCAGTCATATTTTGATAACTAGATGAGCTAGAAGAAAACTAAAAACATATTTGGATTCAGCGCGCAAAACTGGCACAAAAAATGTGTTTACATCTTTGACGAGAAAAAAAACGTTCTATTTTGTTGATCAGTGTAATTGTGAGACGTTATGGAGCGAAACGTGACTTGAAAACTGTATAGAAAATACCCATGAGAAAGTCATGGTTTAAAGTAAGTCTTGCAAGTAAACTAATATAATTCAACATTCAGTAATTCAAAGAATTTCACACGGAGAGTCTTTTCTCACCTAACCAGATGAAGGAACAAATACACACCCCAAAATACAATTGAAGGATTATTATATTTTGTAAGATTTTACGTTTCACAAGGCAAAACCGCTCTCTTAAACAATATTAATGACTTTCCTTCATTAGTCGTCCAGTTTTAAGTCAAGTGACCTGAAATACAAAAGATTGAGCTTTCAGTCTATGCATGCCTTTGGTAGATTTGATTCATAAGTATATTCTACTTTTCACTGAGTAAAAATGTAATATTTGTACAATGTCAACGCATCTCGGGAGCCATAAACTACTGATTAGAGTTCTCAGACTGGGAATCAGAGAGTTTGTGGTTCGCATCCCATTGTTGCAAAAACGCGACCAGCACTTTGGAGCCGTGGTGCTCTGTAAGAATGACGGTCAAAACTACCCCAATTGGGTCAGAGTCGACTGTGGGCGCTGTTGATTGGCTGCCGTCCGCCCCCCTAGTCTGTCAGTTGAAAAGTAGGGACGGGTATGCGCAGATAGCTCTTTGCGAGAAAATTCTTTAACAAAAAAAAATGTGTTTCAAGGGAAAACCGAAACACCTAATCATCATAATGTAGTTGTTGTTTTTTTACTTTTTTATTTGTATTCATGAGTTTAACATTTAATTTTTGTCATTTTTTGTACATTTCGATTGAATTGTTTATATGAAACAACTGCAATAAAGGGAATCACCTTTTTTATTCTTTATTTATTAATTTTAGTACAGAAATGTTTACTTGGACAATAAAAAGGTTAAATAGAAAGGGTATATGATACCTTAACTAAGTAGTTATGATAGTGTCATCATCTAGGTATTTCTGTATGAGGTTTTCCTATGAAATTTATATCTAGAAGTCGTAAAACATAATCGTTTAACTGAAATAACAAACTGTTCTTTAATAATGTGGAGTCTGTATTTTAATAACTAACTTTACCTTTTGGTAGAAGAACGGTCTAGTGAGAGCTAAGCATCTTTCAACAGCCATCACTGTAGCCACACTGCCGGAGGACAGGCCGAAGGCTCGGAGAAGGACCCGAAGGATACAGAACCATCGAGGAATAACCAGCTCTTCTGGCCAAAGATAAAGCTGCATATGCATGAGAAGGAAAGATCCGACCAGAGCCAAAAGATCGTTCCAGATCAAACACCGGACCATCAAGGTCTGTTTTCGATTTCGGGGAGTTTCCGCTCGTTTTAAAAGGACTAAGGAACAGATATTTGCTCCAACGCCAAAAACACATAAGAAACTTATAAGAACCTGATTTAATGTAGACAGGTGTCGCATAGATCCTTCCGTCTCAAAATCATCTTGGTCAACCAACACGTTACCTCGAGACCATATTGTGGTATTCCAGTTGGATAACGTGCGATTAGCTTCAGTGGACATCGCTGTCTTGATCATCTTTCACATTGACTCACTAAGACTGTATTCATGATCATCTCTCATAAAAGCTAACGAGGTTTTCATGTATAATTCCTTTCGCGATCTGTTAAAACTCTTATTTCCTATCTCGACACTTTATGCTACAACATAACACTGACATTACTACGAATATCTCAACAGCGTTTTATTGTTTCTTTAGCTAGAGTTCGTAACAGCAGAGCAGAGTGAAATTTTCAACAATACTGTTTCCAACACATTGTCACAATCACCGGAAGAGTAAAACTAAATAAATATACGGATCTAAATATAATAAATAATGGCTTCGTGATAGAGAAATATCAACTTACGTCCAACTTATTAACTAATCATTTGATTTTGTTTGGTCAGTCACGGTTTATTTTAAGTTCGAAACAAATCTGTCGATGTTATGACGTAATAACGACAAAAACGCTTTCCTCTCTAGCCAGCAGCACACGTTTACCAACTTTTAAGGGAACGTAAGAATCAAGCTCACGCTAATCTTTAAACAGAAGCAACAGTGCGACAAGAGCATAGGCAGCAGCGAGTTTTTGAAAATATCGTAAGAGGGCAGCACATAATAACTCATCCCTCTTTTTGGATGAATTAAAAAATATATATTCTGTTTTTGGCAAACTGTTACATTAATTCTTAGTTACGTCGTTCTGTGTATTTATTTTATCCTACAATAAATCATACTTGCGCTAATTTGTTTCTATTTAGATTTGTTTTCCTTTAACTCGAAAGCGAGTCAGTTAGTTAAGCGTGCAGTACTCTGTTGTTTATATGCTTATATCTAAAAGCCAATTAAATGACCATAGAAGTGTTTTTGTGTTTGGTTTCTGACACTACATAAAATATATAAAACATACGATGCGTAAAAAGCACCTTTCTCTCCATATAATTTGTGTGTTAGTTTAATGTATTTGTCTAATTTGTTGCTTTTCAGCCTGATCATTCAACTGTAAATAGATACATAGATTAAGGTTAAAATGTTATGTATAAATTCCAAAGGGCGTCTTACACTCTTTAACTTAAAAAGTTTCTGTTTTTTTAAGGTTGATTTCATCGGTATTTTGAAATACACTGTATTATTAGCATAGCAATTTATTTTGAGCTCAAATAAAATGTATTTTCTTAAATTTAGACAATAAACAACTTGTTGGTTGAAATCCATTCAGAGAACAAAACTTCCAATAGTTCATTAGCTTATTTAAAACACAAGTGATATTTCATTGGTTTACACAGTTTATACTGTGCAAAAAAAAAAAAAACTACATTTTATTGGCTCGACGTAAATAACATACAGTATTACCCCCTAATTAACGCACCCGGAGGTGTTGCAAACTGCAAAAGGGGGCGCTAATTATACTATTTGTGCAGCTCCGGATTTGTTGATTTCAATGCTAATAAGTATTTGTGTGTTTGTTTTTCTTCTTCTTTTTTTTTTTTTGTTAAACAAAATTACGGTAATAAAGTGCATAACATGTTGGATTACTATTGCAGTCACACAAGGTAAGCTTTATAAAAATACCGTGAGGGGGCGTTAATTAGGGGCAAACGGTAACACTTTTCATTCGTTCAACAGTTTCTTTAGGTCACAATAACGTCAGCAGTTAGCTCAACACTTTAATTAGAACACAAGGGCTTTCTAACATGTTCGACGTTTTAAGTGGAGCACAGAAGACATTTCATTGGTTTTCACAGTTTATACGATTCACTATTCACTAATTCAGTAGTTGTAATTTTGTTGTTGCGAGTAAACGATTGATTATTTTTTTCTATTTTCGTTCTGCTCACGCTGAGATCTCAGATAAAGTACAGGAATAATCTTGTGCCTTAGGTTTTTTCATTCGTCCCCCCCCCCCCAAGTTAAACTACTGATCTATTCTTATTTTACAAATGTGCCTTAGGTTTTTTCATTCTCCCCCCCCCAAGTTAAACTACTGATCTATTCTTATTTGACACATGTGCCTTAGGTTTTCCTTCTTCCTCCCCCCAAGTTAAACTACTGACCTATTCTTATTTTACACATAAGAGTATCCTAAGGTTTTGTGTGTAGTATGAAATGTGTTGGTGTGTACAGGTTGTGTTTATTTGGATGGCTCATAATTACATGATTATCCACTTTAAGACTTTCAAGGCGTAAAAAATGTCAACTCACCTGCCTTTAGCCTAAAGTCACAAATGACCAGTAATTACGACCAGCAATTTCGCGAATCTCATGCGAAAACCCATATCATTACTGCAAACTAGGACTACGTCAATACTCGAGAATGTCACCTAAAATGCCTTACATGATTTATTTATTTTTTGATAAACGTTTGGAGCTCTGCAGCTAAATCTGGTGCTCAGATTTTTTGTTTTATAGGTTGGAGCATGAAATCGATTAGGTCACAAACGTAAAACCAAACTCTCATACGAATGGCCAACTGAATAATATAAATTCTTGAAATACCAGCTCTGTTGCCTAGCTACGTTGATAATAAAGAACGCCATCTGCTGGGCCTTACTATTTCGTAGCACAGGGAAGGAAGTGAGCTAAATTGTCCTTCTTATGTCTCGTCCCCCCGTGGGACAGCGGTAAGTCTTCGGATTTACAACGTTAGAATCAGGGGTTCGGTGGACAAAGCAGATAGCCCGATGTGGCTTTGCTATGACAAAACATACATACATTTATATATTTCCCACGTTTGATATTGTTTTTTGTTCCAAAGGTAGATATAGATTGTAATTATAGTTCTCACAGATACGTTTATCTTTCACTTAACTTGATTAATTCCCAAACTGGGGATTGCGACGCCTATATATAGAGGGGGGGGTCGAAATACCTCAAAGGGGATCGCGAAGGATTTGATAAAATTGTAACAAATCTTTTTGAAGGTTTTTTTTTGTAAATGTTAATATTTTCAAAGAAAATTCATTCACCTTCTCAAATTTTTTGTTTTGTTTTGTTGCTACAAGGAAAACATTTCCTATTGTTTTATTGTTGTTTTTTTTTTTCCTTTTTAGCTCGTTTTGAATTTTCGCTCAAAGCTGCAAAAAAAAAGAGCATCCGATAAGACAAAGGAAAGGAAGACAATTAGCCAACAACTCTCAGTGCCATTTCTTGGGCTACTTTTGTTCAACCGAACAGTGGGATTTAACCTAAACTTGTATAGAGCATTGACAATCCAAAAGTACGGCACGCGTTTTCTTCGCTAACGATTCACAGTCTGGACATGCTAGCTAACTGGCCACGCCCGAACCTTCTTTTTACTATCTTATATATTTTGTGATTGAGTGTTTCATTTGGCTGTTTGTAATTAAGCAGAAAGCTACATAATAGGCTATCTGTGCTGTGCCCACCACGTGTATCGAAACCCAGTTTCTGGCGTTATAAGTCCGCAAGCTTACCGTTTTGCCACTGAAGGAGGAAATATTTTTTGTTTCTTTCAGAGCAAAGTCACACTGGACTATCTGTTGTGTCCACCGCGGGGAATCGAACCCCCGATTGCAGCGCTATAGGTCTGTAAACTTACCGCTATCCCACCGTGGGACAAAATGCTTTAAATTTGTCATTTTTGTTTTTATAGAACAGCAGTTATTCGTTTTTGATTTATAGTTATCTGACACATTGGAGGGTCTTAAATGTTAACCCCTCCCTTGAAAGTAGTCATGGACTTAAAACGTTCGAGAACCTTTTATCTGAATCATAATAGGGAGATCAGTAACTCACATGTATTCACCAAACTCGTATCATGAACCACTAAAAACTTTTTTAAACCGCCATGTTGAATTTCGAAGTGTCTTGGGAGTACATCAGTGGACATCAGTAAACTGTGAACTTCCTGATTTCAAGGTTCTGAATTCTTTTATCCTTGCTGTAATATTTACGTCACATTTCTTGGAATAGCTACACCGAAACAATAAAATTGCGGGACCTTTCACGTACAACTTACAGAGGATATGTCATGAAACCACCCGCCATATAATTCAGAGCCGTAGGAAGCGGTAATACCAGTCAGGCCTTGGCCTGACCACGTTTTTTCATGACATGCATAGCTACAACTTATGTATTAAAACTCGCTTCTTTAAATTCAATACACTGCGTTGTGTGTATGCAGTATTTGTAGGTAAAATTGGTAATAGCATTAAAGTTTCAAAGATTTTCTGGAGGACATAGCCCCAGACCCCGTTCCCTAGAAATGGCAATGCTGTAATGGCCTGACCACTACAGAATTGCTCCATACGGCAATATAATTTGTTTTTTAAATGAATTTTTGTTCTTAAAATCGCTCTAACTTCTAGTCAATTCTTCATCATCTTGTCATCTTGGACAACTGTCGCTGATGCTATTTGCTCTTAAGATTGTTTAGCAGCTAGTTGTGTACATTAGTGCCTGGAACTGAGGAATGTTATATCACTTCCAAGAACTCGCACCTATTTTAACATTGGTTTTGTTTCGACGTGCTGTGGAATGCTAAACCAAATTAAAACTGGACTGAAAGAAAAGATGTAAATGAAAAAAAAAAAAATAGACAATATAATCGTCAACCAAATGGCTAACCAACAAGCATCAGATAACGAAACAAAAGCAACCGCTGCGAGACAAATCTCCCGGTTAATGTCAAAGAGTCGAATAAATATAGGGTTGTTTACTTTACACAAAGACGTATGATGTTTTACCTTACTTTTATTCCATTAGTCTAGACCGATAGACGGTAACATTCGTCTGCTTTCGATAGTGTTATACCTTCTGTAATGGTGTTCCACTTGTAATTTTTATATTATTATATGTAATAATAGAACACGATAGTTATCATGATTTCATGCTAGTAGAACAAATTACTACACAATAAGCTGTCTGTGCTGTGCCCATCACGGGTATCAAAACACGATTTTTAACGTTATAAACCTCCAGTCTTACTGCTAAGGCACTGGGAAGCAGTAAAATGAAGCTTGATAAACCTAAGTTCTACAACGCTGAGGGTTATTTAAGGACAAACATCTTATCTTGCTGAAGTCGCATGATTCTTGTAATCTTTTCTCTGCTTTTCTTAACCTTCTATCATCATGATATATTCTTATACTTATTTTCACTCTAAGGTAATAACGACCAGATAAGATAAGATACACGTGGAAACAACTCATAATAAATCTAAGATAATATAAACATAGAAACAAGTTACAATAACAGATAAGATAAAATACACGTGGAAACAACTCATAATAAATCTAAGATAATATAAACATAGAAACAAGTTACAATAATCGGTTATTGTAACTTGTTTTTATGTTTATATTATCTTAGATTTATTATAAGTTGTTTCCACATGTATTTTATCTTATCTGTTATTGTAATTTGTTTCTATGTTCATGCTATATTATTAAGGTTTTTGCACTTGGTTTGTATATAATCAAATGCCTCAAAAATAACACTCCAATCGAAGTAAAACTAACAAGAATGTTATTATGAACAACAATTAATTTCTTTTATTATTTAAATGATTCTTTCAGAACAAAACCACACTAGGCTATCTGCTGTGTCTACCGCGAGGAATCGA